GGTTACACAACATTTGAAAACGGCAAAACGAGGGAAAATTCAAACAGTTGTAGGTTGAGATGGAGAGTTGGTGGCCGAGAGGATTGAAGTCACGATAGCTCAAGTGGTAGAGCAGCGGCGTATTAGCCGAAGGTCGGGGGTTCGAATCCCGCTCATGACACTGACTTTTTAACTCAACCAAGACCTTACATAAAAAGAATAATTAATTGAAAGAAGTAACTTAACCACTAAAACGTAAATGGATTACTTTTAAATTTTATTTAAAAGTGTGTGTGTTTTCTATAAATGTTTTCTGTTCAGCTTATTGTTCTTTATTATGAAAAAACAATCTTTCCTTGCAAAAACTCTCAATTTTAACACACTTAACGACATTATGTCAGTTTGCGTGAAGACCCCTCCCCTCTAATAGATAGGTAACTATTATGTAGGTGCGATTGGAAAAAAGAAACGATCGAAGTGTCAAATGGTTTATGAATTAGCACACTGGCAAAAAATCTCGACTTTACCACACATAACACAAATAAAATTATTAGCACAGTTTGCACAAACTCCTCCAATTTTAGCAATAGTAACCTACCATGTATGATTTTGTCCTTTCCACAAATTAAGATTTTTATTTATTTCATTCAATTTTCAGCGCATTGTTTCCTCATAGCATTTTAACAATTAATAATGACTTTTTCAAATGATTATTAAAACAAAAAGATATCATCAGCAAACAAGCTTTAAAAATTCTGATATGATGTAATCAAGACAGATTTGCGATGTATAAAAAATATATGTAAACAGATTTTAATTAATTATTCGTTAATAACTTAATAGCGGGATTAAACTCGATAATACACGCGATTAAACTCGACATTACACGTGATTAACCTCGAAAAATGTATGGTATATACTCAAAGACGGAAAATTCGTATTTTGTTGTTTTTGACAACTAACTTAAACGGAACTATAACTAAATTACCTTAATAAAAATAGTTGAGTGAGAGAGGGGAGATGTTAGTGACCTGATGTGAAGAGTTGATGATGGTTCCCACGATTTCTTCTCGTTGATTTGGAACGATTCGCCCAGTCCTGAGCTGAAGAAAGTCTCTCGCAAAATGGACGCAAGGTTGAAAAATGGTACAAGGGCGCATACGGTACAGTTCAGGGGTGCAAAAAGGTGAAAGTCATTTAGGCACTTGTTTCCATCGACAAAGCAGGCTCAGGACTGTGTGGATTAACGGCTGTTCAACACCTGTCGGCTCGCTCCCTCTCCCTCTCTCTCCATCACCCTCTCTCTCGATCACTCACTCTCTCTCTCTCTCACTCTCTCTCTCTCTCTCTTTCTGTCTCTTTCTATCTCTCTTTCCCTCAGTCTTTCATTCTCTCACTACTTTTCTCGTTCTTTCGTGATCTCTCTCATTCTCTCCTGTCTTTCTCTCACTCTTTGTTTCGTTCTCTCTCTCTTGCTCACTCTCTCACATTCTCTCTCTCTTTTTATCTCTCTTTCTCTCACTCGCTTTTTTCTTTCTTTTTGTCTTTCTTTCTCTCTCTCTCGTTCTCTCTCTCTTTTTATCTTCTTTCTTTCTCTCCCTCACTCGCTTTTTTTCTTTCTTTCTCTCTCTCTCGTTCTCTCTCTCTTTTTATCTCTCTTTCTCTCACTCTTTCATTCTCTCCCTCACTCGCTTTTTTCTTTCTTTTTGTCTTTCTTTCTCTCTCTCTCTCTCTCTTTCTTTCTATCTCTCTCTCACTTTCTTTTTTCCCTCTCTTTCTCTTTTTTCTTTCTTTCCCTCTCTCTCACTCTCTCTCTCTCTCTCTCTCTCTCTCTCTCTCTATCTATCTATCTATCTATCTATCTATCTATCTCTCTCTCTCTCTCTCTCTCTCTCCTCCCCCAAAATGTACGGTAAAAAAAACTAGTGCATTCAATTTTATTACTTCTTTCATCCTCAGTGTAGATTTCCCTGAACATTTTGTTTGTCTAAAAAGTCTTGATTCGCATTTGTTTTTGTTTTTTTGACTATTTAAAGGTTCTTTGCAATTTATCCGAAATTGATCCTTTTTGATCCTTCCGTTCTCAACGGAATTGTTTTTTTCACTTTCTGATTTTTTGTGAAAACCTCAATTATGCTCATGCTGAAAAACGGCATAGGGTCACTTATTGGGTCTTCGCTCCCGGGTCTGGAGAATTATTTAAACAAGTTTCGGCATCGTGCCATCTTCAGTGAGGAACTGTCTGTCAGAGGGTTTATTTGTCATTGGGAGAGGCGTCGGTGGCCGCAACGGTTTAGGCGTTGACACGGCGCTCATCACTGTAAGGTAAAGGTCCCGGGTTCGAATCCAGCGTCTTCGACTTTTCAAAAACACCGGCATCCCGAGGGATGATATAACTTCTGCTGTTACGAACCCTTGTAAAATAAAATAAAATAAAAATTGTCATTGGGTCCGTCGATGGTCGCTGGTGAAGTTGTGTGGGTCGTGATGTCGGTTATTATTTGTTTATTGGTAGTTTTTATGTTATTTTCTTTGGAATGTTTGTGTTTTTTGTTATGTAGTGTTTTTAATGGTGTTAAAATAGTATGATTTTGTTTGTAATTTATAAGTTTTCCATCTTTAAGTGTTATTTGTTTGTACATCTGAAGGTCTTCCTGTACGTTGAGTTTTCGTCCTTTTTGATGGGTTTTAATATAATTGTTTCGTCGTTGTGATGTATTAAGCGTGTGGCTAAATTTAATTCCTCGTCGTTGTCTGTAAAGGATCTAAGATGACATTTGAATCTCTTAACTTCCTTCCCGTCTGACCAATAGATGTGTTTCCGCATTGACATGTGATTCTATAAAGACCGTCATTATCTAGCGGGTCAGTTGTGTGTTTTTTTAGTACATTAGCTGTTTATTGTTGATATGCTGTTTTTAATCCGAGTTTGTTGAACAAGTTCGTAAGTCTGTAGGTTTCTTTCCTGTGTATATGATTTTGTCGTTGTTTTTAGTAGTTTCTGTATTTTGCTTGTTTTGTTTCTGTTTTCTATTGCTATTCGTTATTATTTGTGTTGTAATTTCCCGTGTTGAGTTATATTGTTTCTAGTTTGTGTATCACGTTTTGTTGTGGTGAAAGTTGAGGATGGTTTGATTATTTACGAAATTCTCAGTTGAAGTGGGAATCGGGAATATTTGGAAGTCGGTTTTATTGTTTCTGATGAGTGTTAAGTCCAAGAAGTACATGCTGTTGTTTTTGCCTTTCGTGCCATTGACTTTTTTTATCTCAACTAAAAACCTTAATTATTTATAATATATTAATTGGTCAAGCGGACTACGAAATTAGTGAATTTAATGATTGAAAATGAAGTATACTTCACTAAAGCTCTCCGTGGCCATTTCATTTGTCGTCGAGAATCCAATCCGATTACACATTTGAAAAATGGCAAAAAGGAGGGAAAATTAAAAAGGTGCGGTTGAGATGAGAAGTTGGTGTCCGAGTGGATCGAGGTCACGATAGCTCAAGTGGTAGAGCGGCGGCGTATCAAGCCGAAGATCGTGGGTTCGAATCCCGCTCGTGCCATTGACTTTTTTATCTCAATTAAAAACCTTAATTAATTATAATTATCAATGATGTTCTCTGTGTTTGTTTTATTTAAAAACAATAAAAAGATTGTTTTCATATTTGTCTTATTCAAATTTGACCTTTTTTGATCTTTCCCTTCTCACTAGGACTTTTTTTTGCCCTTTCTAATTTTTTTTGAACACCTCAATTAACATTGCTTATAATTACCTGTAGCATGTTAACCAACGCCGAACTTTTGAAGGGTTTACGAAATAGCACACTGGCACACCGTTTACCATTTAGAGTGCCGAGTTCTTTTCCGAAATAGCACAATTGCCGCACAAACCAGCTCGACTTCATCACAAGATATAGTGATATGAATAATTTCTGGATTATTATATTGACAATAAAAATAATGGTTTTTTTTCTTTGCTGTTTAAAAAATTTAATTATTGTTTAATTTAATTTGAATTTAATTATTTAGAGAATGAATTTCTTTTTTTTTCAAGTAAAATAGCATTCAAAATTTGTGAAAACCAGCGTTTAAAAATCTAAAAATATGCAATAATACTTTTGTTAACTGTTGTACAATGTTAAATATACTGCTGATTTATTAAGGCAGTAAATAAATAAATTCCTTTCGAGATTTTCATATGGTAAATATGTAAAGTTATGTTAATGTCGTACTTCCGAATATCTGCATCCTAGTCGGTGTAATATTTCTGCGAGATCTTGTACAAAATTCAAAAATTTAGAAAAAAAATTGAAAACAGTTTTTATTATCAAACATCAATCGTCAATGGAGATCGCCGACCAGTCTGGAGAATTGGATAGTAGGTACGGTTTCAGTGGCGCAGACTTCCTCAAATTTGGCCACTTCCTCGTCAGGTGTTCGATTACTGGCTGTGGGTCCCCGCGGGGTCCTTCGTGGGAACGCCGACTGGCAATTATACACAGACGTGATAAAGGTGTCTGAAAAATAACGCTGACCGGGAAATGAATTGGCTCGGGTTCTCAGTCTTCCTCAGGTAACTTCTTCCTATGAGGTAAGCTTTCAGACGAGATTACTGAACGAAGCCTGACTTGGCAGAGCCGATTTTCGGTAGGCGATTAAACGGAAAGCTTCCACCTTAAGTTCACCTAATCAACTTGTCAATATAATCGTTGTGCTACACTGACAGGCAAAAAATTCCACACAATTGATTTTTTTCATTTTCTCGATAAAAGAAAATTCTGTCCTTAATTTATCTGATTGTTTTTATCAATAAATATTTGTTTATGCTATGTTTTATATTGGGAATATCAATTAGAGGTAAACACACTTAATCCTAATCCAAAACAATGATAAAGGATTTTTCATTGTTTATTCACTTTTTACAGAATTTAAAATGTTTATTCAGTCTCATTTGAATTCTGAAGGAATAAACTGTTTAGTTTTCATCTTGTTTCCTTAATTTCAATTTTTAAACTTAAAAATGCCACTTGGTGCTGAGGACGTTGCGCATGGTGCGGCACTTATTGATCATGTTCCATCGGGTATGCGACTTCTGCCATCGGAGTTCTCTACGAAACTCTGCGAGACGCCGTTAGACGTTTTCGAGAAACTGAGTCCTGTCATAGAATGCCCGGTTCTGGGGGACCTGGGAACAGAACTACAGGATGACCGTTTTTTGACTTCAAGTATTTTATGAAACCGGCAGCTTACTGATGATCAAGGAATTCATCATCTCCAGGAAGTTCGAAATGTCCAAATTTCTGAACGCACTAATCCAGGAAGATTAAATCACTATGGACTGATGGCTTTTCGGCCCATAAGAGATTGGTCTTTAGACGATTGGTCTGCTGTATTTTTTTACAGATGAGTGTAATCTTCGCTCTACGAATCTCCGATGGGCGCGAAAGAGTGTGGAGAAATGAAAGGTACAAAGCTTCTAATTTTTCCCAGAGTCAACCTTTTCAACGTAGCTCAGTGATGGCGTGGGCGGGAATTTCAATGGAGAGCCGCACAGAGTTGGTTGTTGTTCGTGGAGGGTCTTTGACGGCCACTCGCTACATAGATGAAATTTTGGAACATCATGCGTTGCCTATCCTCGATGACATCAGCGACAATCCCATTCTCATCCATGCCTGTCCACATATCGCTCGCATAATACAAACGGGTCTTAGCAAGCCCTTTCTCCAGACTTGAACCCGATCGAACATTTGTGGGATAACCTCAAAAAAAGAATAAGAGCACGTCCATTACTTCCTGAAACACCCCATGATCCTAAAGGACTCTTCGTGAAGAATGAGCTAACCTCCAGCAAAGAGACATTTCCAGAATGGTAGAAAGTGGAATGATAAGAAGGAGGAAATACGCGATATTGAAATGTTAATTAAAAATCTAAAAAAGCTCCTTCCTTAGCAATTTATATATTTTTAAACTTTTTGTAGACAAAGACTCAATTAATCGTTAAAAAACGTGAAACTTTGATTAAGACATAAAAATATATTCAAATCGAGTTATATTACAAGTGGGTGGAAATTTTTGCCAGTGTATTCTAAAATAATTTGTTTGTAGATCGGAATGGAAAGTATATTGAACAATGTGTATGTGCATTTTTGTAAATATTTATTTATATTTATTATTTGGTGGGATTTGTGGTCCAAGGCATGTTGTATGTTGAAACTATGCAAAGCTTTTGGTGTTTTATTGCACCTTCTTCAGGACTCTACAACAGATATACAAACATAATTTTTTTATAATTACTCAGCGTTGTAAGTGACAATCAACAATCAGCTTATTTTTACTACTTCTTGATCCTCAGTCAATATTTAAACATTATTTTCTTTTATCAACATGTATACAACTTTTTCTCTATTTTTCTACCATCTCTTATTTTTTAATTCTAAATATAAGTTTTTTAATAAATAAATAGTACTTATTATTTTTATTTATTTATTAAAAAACTATTATATTTAGAACTAAAAAATAAGAGATGGTAAAAGAAAGACAAAAAGTTTCTGAAGTTGCTTCGGAGGAATGCTTAATTTAGTAATTTAGTTTAAGGTTAGCAGGTAATTCCTTTAATTTAGCGTGGGCGCAGTTTTGTTCCTGCTCTGTTTCCTCCTTTATGTTAAGATCACTGATTTTTTTGGTGCCAATGTAAAATTTCTATCAGAAAAAGTTCTACTTTCCTTTTAACAAAATTACTAACGTTCGTTTTCCGCAAAATTGCGCATGGTGAGGCACTTACTGATGATGTTCCATCGGCTATTGTTACTGTAGTTCCCTACTAAACACTAGGAGACGCCGTTAGACGTTTTCGAGAAACTGGGTCCTACCATAGAAGGCCCGGTTCTGGACTCCCTAGGACAGAACCACAGGACGACCGTTTTTTGACTTTAGAATTTTGCGTAACCGGCACTTGACTGTTGTTCAAGCGATTCATCAGCTCCAGGAATTTCGAGGTGTCCAAATTTCTGAACGCACAGAATCAGGAAGAAATCACTATGGACTGATGGCTTTTCGGCCCGTAAGAGGTTTTTAGGTCTTTAGATGATTGGTCTGCAGTACTTTTTACAGATGAGGGTAGATTTGCTGTAGGATCTCCAGATTTTTCGAGAAACTTGGTCCTACCATAGAAGGCCCGATTCTGGACGCCCTAGGATCAGAATCACAGAATGAACGTTTTTTAACTTTGAGAATTTTGATCTTTGGACGATTGGTCTGGTTTACTTTTTACAGATGAGTGTAGATTCGCTCTACGAATCTCCCGATGGGCGTGAAAGAGTGTAAAGAAGGCGAAATGAAACGTACGAAGCTTGCAATTTTTCCCAGAGCCAACCTTTTCAACGTAGCTCAGTGATGGTGTGGGCGGGAATTTCAATGGAGAGTCGCACAGAGTTGGCTGTTGTTCGTGGAGGGTCTTCGACGGCCACTCGCTATATAGATGAAATTTTGGAACATCATGCGTTGCCTATCCTCGATGACATCAGCGACAATCCCATTCTAATCCATGCCCGTCCACATGTCGCTCGCATAGTACAAACATACCTTCAACAGCACAACATCAGGGTCTTAGCCAGCCCGTTCTTCAGACTTGAATCCCACCGAACATTTTTGCTATAACCCCAAAAGACGAATAAGAGCACGTCCTGATACACTCCCCGAATTTGAAAGGACTGGTCGTGAACCTGCTAACCTCCAGCAAAGAGACATTTCCAGATTGTCAGAAAGTATGCCGAGGCGTCTACGAGATGCAATTAAGGCAAGAGGAGAAAATACGAGATATTAATGTTAATTAAAAATCTAAAACAAATATTATCCGTCTGCCTTTATTTTTATTTTTTTATTTTTCATTTTCCTTAGCAATTTACTTTTTAGTATATAGAATATCGAGTACTTCATCGACTAATCAGAATAAATGCGATGTACATAGATTTGAATGTATTTATTTGTGCGACTGTATTATAGAAGTTAGTCAGTTTAGGGTTGATTTATTTTGCATGCTTTGGGACTGAAACGACCTGCTGTCGCAAGCCCTTGTTGGAGCCTAACCCCGTTGGAGGAAGCTACGATCTCCTGGATATCTGGTTATTGAAGATACTGGCGACCCAGACGCATAACGGGGTAGGTGAAGACCCTAGGTCCTAGGGTTAGCACCTTGGGAAATGACAGCCCGTGGGGGTGAAAGTCCATAGCCATTGGTGCTGCATTTTGTCCAACTGGTCAAAAATAATAGTGACATTTATTGACCCATTATTTTAACCATTCTTTTTGGATATTAGCTATAAATATTCTATTGGATGAGAGTTCGTTAAACAATTATTTTTAAAAAGTCAGTTCTATATTAAGACATCAATATTTTGCCTAGCAAATGAGTAATCGTATTCATTCCAGTTTGGGAAATACGATTTTTTTTTCATTGTGTTGTAAATATAATTTTAAATCAGTCGTAAAATGACATCATTCCGAGTCTTGTCTTGTCTCCTAATTTGCCTTATAATAAGAATTTATGGAGGATAGACGTTTAAAAAATACTAATAAAAATAACCTGGATGGAAAAGCAAAAACGTGGTATTTCACTCAGGCTTATTTTAGAAAGCAGTGGACTCATTTAAAACAGGAAAATTGTGAATTTTTTACAACGGCCGGATATCTATAACATTGCAGATCTTGCAATCGTTATCCATGTAATCATAAAATAACAGCGCATAGAGTGGTGCGTTTACCGAGAGTGCACTATTTAAACCAGCTGCACGACGATTATCTAATCGAAAGGGCAAAGTGCAAACAATAAAGCAATATCGCTCAAATTTAACCTTATGAGACAGGTTCTTACGAACGAAATCAAAACTGGCGCTCATGCATTTTACTATCAGATTTTGAATATATTACGCGAAACGGCGGACCCATCTACACGTCTCAAAACGTCTGGAAAGAAATAGGCCTGTGTTATCGTTCCATTTGAGATCAATAAATTGATGGGAATGGGATATTTCTTATGACTTGATCAAAATTAATTTTGCACAACGAAGTTTGAAATCTTGATATTTACAAGGTACATTCAAATTTGTTGAAGTCCTGAGGAGCGGTCAGGAATGAGTTAGTATAGAAAGACACATTTTTCATTTTTTGCCGACGTTTCGACCTTTATTCAGGTCACCTTCAGTGCATATGTGGTGTTATTCTTGTGGTATAATATTGTTTTGTGTGGAAGTATTATCACAATATGACGCCACACGAATAGCACCAAACTTTATGGCCTGAAGATGACCCTCATGAAGGTTGAAACGTCGGCAAAAAAATGAAAAAGGCGTTTTTCTAAACTACCACATTCTTGACCGCTCCTCACGACTTCAACAAATTACGAAAGAACAGGACACTAATAAACAAACATTCTTTCAAATTCACTAGCTTCGTGGTCCGTTTGACCAATTAATATCATACAATTAATTAAGGTTTTAGTTGAGATAAAAAAATCAATGGCCCGAGCGGGATTCGAACCCACGATCTTCGGCTTGATACGCCGCTGCTCTACCACTTGAGCTATCGTGACCTCGATCCACTCGGACACCAACTTCCCATCTCAACCACACCTGTTGAATTTTCCCTCCTTTTTGCCATTTTTCAAATGTCGTATAATCAATTTGATTCTCGGCGACAAATGAAATGGCCACGGCGAGCTTTAGTGAAGGATACTTCATTTTAAACTTATTAAATTCACTAGTTTCGTGGTCCGCTTGACCAAGTAATATCTTACAATTAATTAAGGTTTTTAGTTGAGATAAAAAATGAAAAATCGCAAAAAGGAGGGAAAATTCAAAACTTTTCGACTTTTCTCTCTACTTTGGCTGATTTTCCACTCTTCTTCAAAATATTTGCAGTAGAAGGCAAAATAAAGTGGTTTCGCCCTAACGCACTAGAACAGCCTTCCGGCTATTTTCCAAAAATCATATCTCCGGGTCTATTGGACCGATTTTAATAACTCAGTGTTCATTTTTCTCGCCAAAAAATCTAGTTTCAAAGAAAAATATGAAAAATGTGGGTTTTTATATAAAATTAAGAATTTTAATTGGACTTATGTCGAATCGAGGTCGAAAAAAATAAATCGACCTTACATGAACAAACTACATTTAAAATGAAGGGGAGCCTCAATTCATACTTTTTTCCTATCTAGAACCTCAAAAAAAAAAAAATGGGATGGTCGTATTAGCTTAGACACCCTCTATTTGATCATTCAAGCCGTTCAAATGCACTAGTATCTTCTAAAAACATTTTCTGTTATTAAACGATTGAATGAATTAATCTGATAAAAACATTTATAAGTTATGATCTCGAACATTGACTGGCTATAAGTGTCGAAAATTTTCAGGAGGTGTTTCTATTCACCATATGCAACAAAAAACTTCCTATAAACCCCTGTCCAAATCTCAACGGTAAAGAAGTAATTTCAGGTTTTGGGTTTTTTAAATTTGTCGACTTAGGTCCACTAAATAGCTTATAAACTTCAGAATTCCCGACTGTTATTTTCAGTAAGAAAACCTATTTACATTGCAGAATTGATGAAAAAACTTTGCACGAAAAATTCTGAAAAAACAAAAATGTTGAAATTTCGAAAACCAAGCTCGTTTTTCACGTTGAGACGTTCCAGCAGATCGTACCTTCCAACGACTTCTTCAGAGGCTGAAGGAAACTGGTTCTTTCAATCTTTTACGAGAGTGCAAAGTTTGGAACGAAATGACCACCAGCAGTGAGTTTTTCATCGTAATAAGAAAACATTTTTTCCTCATGTCTGTTTCCCTTCAAGATGGTTGGGAAGACGAGGTTTCATACGGTGGCCAGCAAGATCTCCAGATCTAACACCCTTAGATTTTTTGGGACACATAAACAGAGTGTGTAAAAAACAATCTGGAAGATTTAAAGGAAAAGATCAAAGAACGTTGGAGAAGCCCAACACCAGATACTTTCGTGCAGTGCGAAATGAATTCCATAATAAGAGTTTGCTTTGTATGGAGATCGGTGGTGCTCATTTTGAAAATTTAATTTACTAGGACTTCATTAAGTACTACTTAATAAAGTTACCAGGAGGTAATTGAATTAGTAATTAACTTAAAGTTACTATGAGGTAATTGAATTAGTAATTAACTTAAAGTTACTATGAGGTAATTGAATTAGTAATTAACTTAAAGTTACCAGGAGGTAATTGAATTAGTAATTAACTTAAAGTTACTAGGAGGTAATTGAATTAGTAATTAACTTAAAGTTACTAGGAGGTAATTGAATTAGTAATTAACTTAAAGTTACTAGGAGGTAATTGAATTAGTAATTGACTTAAAGTTACTGGGAGGTAATTGAATTAGTAATTAACTTAAAGTTACTAGGAGGTAATTGAATTGGTAATTAGTAATTAACATAAAGTTACTAGGAGGTAATTGACTTAAAATTACTAGAAGGTAATTGAATTAGTAATTATCTTAAAGTTACTAGGAAGTAATTGAATTAGTAATTATTAATTAACTTAATGTTACCAGGAGGTAATTAATTAGTAATTAACTTAAAGTTACCAGGAGGTAATGAATTAGTAATTAGTAATTAACTTAAAGTTAGGAGATAATTGAGCCAGTAATTAGTAAGTGACTTAAAGTTACTAAGAGGTCAATGAATAACGATTGAGATAAATAAAATTCGAACTTTTTGTTAAATTTTAAACCTTAATAACTCTTAAACGACGAACTCTAAAAGAAAAGTGTCCGAAGTAAAATCATTACAAAAAGTCCTAGAATTTAATTCCTTATTCAAAATCGTACCTTCTCATTGAAAAAAAAAGTTGCTGAGCCCTGGGGACGTACCATTTTATGTAAACATACGTAAAGTCCAGTCATATTTTTTAAAATTATTTCCAAACAAAAGAAATAAAACGAGGGTAGTTTATAAATAATCACCCCGTATAATATATTCCTGCGATATCGATGACTTCCATATTTCACTTCAAAAAGCTATCAAAATATGTGTAGTACATTTTTTTTTTTTGTAAATGGATTGTTAAAAAAACTGAAAAACCAAGGAACCAAATGAAACCATAAATTTTTCGAAATAGTGATGAATTCCGAATGAGTGGTTATGTTTCGTTTTAGCCCATCGTTGAAAATGAATCACAAGTGAGCCACGATTATCATTTTATTTTTATTTTTCTCGATTGATTTTTTTTTTGTTTTGTTTTTTTTTGCACATGAAAATAATCTTCTTTCACAACGGCTTATCTGCTGTGTTCAAATATGGTGCTTTATTTACGATAGAAGGTTAGGTCAAAACACCAAATTTTATGTGCGATAGGCAAAAAGGAAGATAAACCCTCTTTGTGCCATTTCTGCAATCATGTTACATTTTAAAAAAATAATGACGTTTTACTCAATATTTAAATTTAAATTAAAGAAAAGATATTTCTTTCTTCTAAGACTATCCAGTGTGCTTCGTCGTCAATGCAAAGAGTTAGAAGGACGAAGGGAATAAAATGCAGAGGCGTAATAACGGTGATGGCTGCAGTAAGCAGATCGTCCCGAGTAAGAAAGAAGGTACGGCATTGTCCTTTTATTGACACAGGAAACGAAGTCATTGTTTCTTTCTCTTTGATACTGTAACCTTACGTAAGGAGTAGATAAAAAGTTGGGAGGCCGGCACTCAGAATGAAAGGTTAGCGGAAGGGTGTGTGAATGGGGCTGACCTTCGACTCCCAACGAGAGCTTTTTTCAATTTGCTTTTCCGACTCGTCTTTATCGACTATTGTCTATAGCGTAGGCGTCTTTGATATTACGGGCGATGAGCCTAGGAAAACATTCCCTCGACAGAAACGAGACGTGTCCTGATTTAAAAACTTGGCAAAAGCTTACGATTTACAAGCGAATAAACAATTAACCAACTAAAATATCGATTAAAGTACAGTTCAAAAATGTAATTTTTTCAAATAATTTTACTGTGCGATGTAAAAATAAAGACCTGAATGATTCTCAGGATTTGTCGATAATTAAGAAAAATTTTGGTTTAAAAAAAGAATGCATTGCGTAACGAAACATAGGTTCAATTTTTGTTTAAATATAAATATAAACGCTCTAGAAAATTACATAATCAAAAAAGTTTATACCCACCAAATAATTTTTTTTTCAAATTTGAAATTGGATGAATAATGAAAAATAAATAGTTAAAAAAAAAAATTATACATTGACAGGCAAAAAATTCCACCCACTTGTAATATAACTCATTTGTATATATTTTTATATATTAATTAATGTTTCTCGTTTTTTAACATTTAATAATTGAGTCTTCGTCTAAAAAAATAAAACAACAATATAACTAGGGAAGAAAAATGGAAAAAAAAGACGGACAGATAAAATTGGTTTTCGATTTTTAATTAACATTTCAATATTGCATTTTTCGTCCTCTTGGCTTAATTACATCTCGAAGACGCCTCGGCATACTTTCTACCAGTCTGGAAACGTCCCTTTGCTGGAGGTTAGCTTATTCTTCACGACGAGTCCTTTCAAGATCGTGGAGTGTATCAGGAAGTGCTCTTATTCGTCTTTTGAGGTTTTCCCATAAATGCTTGATCGGATTCAAGTCTGGAGAAGGGGCTGGCTGAGACCTTGTTCCAAAATGTCATCCACATAGCGAGTGGCATCAAATACCCACCACGAACCAACTCTGTGCGACTCTCCATTGAAATTCCCGCCCACGCCATCACTGAGCTACGTTGAAAAGGTCGACGCTGGGAAAATTTAGAAGTTCGTACCTTTCATTTCGCCTTCTCCACACTCTTTCACGCCCATCTGGAAATCGAAGAGCTAATCTACACTCATCTGTAAAAAATACAGCAGGCCAATCGTCCAAAGACCAATGGTTGTGTTCTCGAGCAAATGGGGACCGTGCAACTCTATGTATTCTGGTTAATTCTGGTCCTTTTATCGGGCGAAAAGCCATCAAGACCATAATGATTTAATCTTCTTCAAGCAGTGCGTTCAGCAATTTGGACACCTCGAACTTCCTGGATGAATCGCTACAACAATAAGGTGCCGATTTCGCAAAATTCTCAAAGCCAAAAAACGGACATTCTGTGGTTCTGTTTCTAGGGCGTCCAGAACCGGGCCTTCTATGGTAGGACCCAGTTTCTCGAAAACTTCTAACAGGGTCTCACAGGGTTTCGTAGGGACGCCGATAGCAGTAGTCACATACCTGATGGAACGACCATCATCAATAAGTGCCACACCACGCACAACATCCTTAGCACCAAGTGGCATTTTTCAGTTTAATTAATTTAAAAATTAAGAAGACAAAGATGAAAACTAAACAGTTTATTCCTTTAGAATTCCAATGAGACTGAATAAACATATTAAATTCCATAAAAAGTAAACATTGAAAAATTCTTGTTTTGGATTAAGGATAGAGTGTGTTTACCTCTGATTGATATTCCCAATTTAAAACATAGCATAAACAAATATTTATTGATAAAACAATGAAACAAATTAAGGGCAGAATTTTCTTTTATTGAGAATACGAAAAAAATCAATTGGGTGAAATTTTGCCTGACAGTGTATTTCATAAATCACTGGTGTTAAAGTTAATCCTTTTCCAAAGATTATAATACACGTTAACGTTTCCTTAAACTTTGCTAATCTTGTTAAATATGTTAAAATTGAGAGATTTAGTGATGCAATTTCGGAACAGTGGACAAAAAGAGGAACACAAAATGTTTATGAAAAAATACACCTGAATAGATTAATTTTTAAATATTAGAATCTGACATTAGGGCTATTCTCACAAACTATGCCAATCACGTTACAGTTGATCATTTTTCTGATGCCATTTCTCATTCATTGGTACATTTTTCTCAAACAATAAATATCGCGGAGTCCCAATTTTTTTTACATTAGGTAATTCCCGCAGACTGCGCTAATAATATTAAACGTGTTAAAATCGAGAATATTTGTTATTTTGTATTTTTATAAAAGGACATGGTAAGTCCCATCGTCAACATTGGAGGTATTCGCACAAACAGTTCTAATGATTTTAATCGTGTTAGAGTCGAAACTTTTATTAGTGTGTAATTTCGTAATCTCTTCTTACAAAAGTCATCTCGATACACAGCACTACATTTTTATTTGTGCAGGGAGGGTTGTAAAAATGTGTGCCAATAATTTCTTTTCAATGAATTGTTGCTTTGGTTGAGATAAAAAAGCCAGTGTCACGAGCGGGATTCGAACCCACGATCTTCGGCTAAATTGGCCGCTGTACTACCACTTGAGCTATCGTGACTTCCACTGAAACTTTGCTAATAATGTTAATTATGTTATGCGTATTAGACTCGATGTTTGTCCGATACCTAAGGACACTTTTCTAAGATCTTTTTAAATTTTTTCAATAGTATAAATATTGTAGGTTCCTTTCTATTATTTTCGGAGAATCCACTCCAATTGTGCTGATAATATTAATTGTGTTATTCGTGTTAGACTAGATAATTGTATCATACCTAAGAACACTTTTATAAAATCTTTTTAAATTTTTTTAATCGTATAAATATTGTAGGTTCCTTTCTATTATATTCGGAGAATCCACTCAAACTGTGCTAATAAAGTTAATTGTGTTATTCGTGTTAGACTCTATAATTGTATCATACCTAAGGACACTTTTATAAAATATTTTTAAATTTTTTTAATCGTATAAATATTGTAGGTTCCTTTCTATTATTTTCAAAGAATCCACTCAAACAGTGCACTCTATAATTGTATCATACCTAAGAACACATTTCTAAAATATTTTTAAATTTTTTCAATCGTATAAATAGTGTAGGTTCCTTTTTATTGTATTCGGAGAATCCTCTCAAACTGTGCTAATAATGTTAATTGTGTTATTCGTGCTAGATTCTATAATTGTATCATACCTGAGAACACATTTCTAAAATCTTTTTAAATTTTTTCAATCGTATAAATATTGTAAGTTCCTTTCTATTATATTCGGAGAATCCACTCAAACTGTGCTAGTAATGTTAATTGTGTTATTCGTGTTAGACTCTATAATTGTATCATACCTAAGGACACTTTTCTAAGATCTTTTTAAATTTTACAATCGTATAAATATTGTAGGTTCCTTTCTATTATATTCGGAGAATCCACTCAAACTGTGTTAATAATGTTAATTGTGTTATTCGTGTTAGACTCTATAATTGTATCATACCTAAGAACACTTTTCTAAGATCTTTTTAAATTTTACAATCGTATAAATATAATAGGTAGTTTGAGTGGATTCTCTGAATATAATAGAGAGGAACTTACTATAATATTTGTACGAGTAAACATTTTAACAAAGTTTTAGAAAAATTGTCCTTAGGTATCATACAATCATCGAGTTTAGCACGCATAACACAATTAACTAGCAACTTCACTTAGCAATTAACTAGCAGAGTTTGAGTGGATTTTCCGAATATAATAGATACGAACCTACTATGTTTATTCGATTGATAAAATTAAAAAGATTTTAGAAAAGTGTCCTAAAGTATCATAAACTCGAAATCATCTGACATCTAAGGACACTTTGCCAAAATCTTTTTAGAAATTTTCAATCGTATGAACATCGTAGGTTTGTATCTATTATATTCGGAAAATCCTCTCAAACTCTGCTAAGTTAATTGCTAAGTGAAGTTGCTAGTTAATTGTGTTATTTCTGTTAACTCGATAATCGTCTGATACTTAAGGACACTTTTTAAAAAATCTTTTTAATTTTTTTTAATCGTATAAACATAGTAGTTTTCTATCTTTTACAATTGGATGTTTATATGAAACTGCGCTAATAGTGTTAGTTTTGTAAAGAGTATTTATAGACGAAATGACCTGATCATCACTAAAGCCTCGGCTCTCATTACATATTTTTGTAAGTTATAAACGTTAATACATTCCTATCTTTTACGCACGGTTATTCAATGATATCCATGTTAAATGTGTTACAGTTGTAGTGTCGATTAGCTGGGTGATAGATCTCGTTCAATCTGCTAAGCTAAACTTATAAATTTATGTGTGGTGATTAGTGACCGTTAATCGATATTTATTTAGAAATCGTGAGATGCGGTCTGGTGTGATGTAGGTTTCAGAAAAACATTTCCTTTATCGTGCCAACGTTTCGATCTTTATTGAGATCATCTTCAGGGCCTGGGATTTACAAACATAAATCAAAGTGAGTAGAAATACTTTGATTGAATATATAAAAAAATATATTTTACATTGTATAAATTCACTTTTCCACATCCAAAATGTAATTGTAATATATAAACAATGTTTGTAAATCCCAGGCCCTGATACATAGACGAACTATTCGTATGTTCAGTTGACATTAAAATAAAATATACTTAACGTGGTTCCTGTACCTAATATTAGGTGTGTTTGAATAGACGATAATGCGTTTCAAAATGAACAGCTCAAGCGTTTCATTTTCTCTGACGAGTAAACAAACAGTAAGATTTTATTTTTTACATTAAATATATTAGGGGTATTCACGATCTATGTGTTAACCCTGTTAACTCTGTTAGGTCGTG